GTAAAATGTGAGGAAAGAGCATTTTACCCAAATTCCCTTTTCAAGCTATTAGGACCTGCAATAGCAGCTTTACCCCCTCCATACTTGTTGTTGAAGTCATCCTTAACACGCTCTAAAAATGCAATCGGTAACTGTCGACCCGCAGATTCAACAGCAACAACACAATATGCTGCAAAATGCATGGTAAATTAATCATTCAAAAAACATACATTACGTTGTCACAATTTATAAAAATAAAAAATAAAAAACTCTGGATTCTCTAGAAAGATTATGGAAATCTCTCTAAATCTCTCTAGTGGTGAGGTTGTGCCCAAAATAAATCCTTCAAGACCATACCCTTTTACTCTGTCCAGAACCTGATGTTTTTTTTAATTAAGTTTTATTGTGGCCAACTGTGCTTCAGGTTGAATCAGGAATGGAGTGAGTCTAAAATTAAAGGAATCTGAACTTTCCATTTTTATCTTAAAAAAAAAGATAACAAACAAAAATGCAATAAAGAGGGTGGGGTTGGAGATCTCAAACCTCATTGGTTACACAAGATTAACCTGCTCGGATACCATAAAGGTAGATATCAACAACCATTGAAGAAGCAATATGAATACAAAACGGATTCAAACCAGAGAAAGCAAAGGAAAATGAGTTAGCGAAAGCGGTTATGAATAGCAGAATTGAGAGACAACAACAACAACAATTACAACAACATAGCCTTTAGTCCCAAGCAAGTCGGGGTAGGCTAGAGATGAAACTTAAGAGAAACACAAAAAGACTCGAACCAAAAACGAGAGAGAGAGAGAGAAAGGAGCAAAAGTCACGGTTCTGACACGTTGATAGCGAGCCTCCAAGCGCTCCTATCCACCGCTAAATCCTTGGAGATATTCCAATCTTTAAGGTCTCTCTTAACCGACTCTTCCCAAGTGAGTTTAGGCCGACCTCTACCTCTCTTAACATCCTCGACCCGCTGAAGAACTCCCCTACGCACTGGTGCATCAAGAGGCCTCCGTTGGACATGTCCGAACCACCTCAGCCGATGTTGAACCAATTTCTCCTCAATTGGGGCCACCCCGACCCTATCTCGAATATCCTCAGAATTGAGAGACAACACTTTTTTTTTTTCTTAATTCAATCAAAATAAACTCCTCTTCAAACAATAGAATAGGAGTCTTAAATAGATCTCCTAACAACCCTAATGAAAGGACTAGGATAAATATCTTTCCTATAATTAACTATACTTCCTACCAAATCCAGAACTAATAATAATAATAAAATAAAAATAAAATTAAACCAATGATGTCAAACGATAATGATTGTCCAGAAAGACCAACACAATATCGTCTCCATCATTCTTCCCCATTAGAAGGATTTGCCTCTGAATGGGCACAGCCTTGTCTTCATTGGTGGCTTCACTGAATCAACACCCTTCTCGTCTTCATTGGTGACTAAAACATTCAAGGAAACTAATAGGTTCTTTAGCTTCGTCATCATTCTCGACCAAATCAACTCGGATTGAGCATGAAAATCACTTCATATCGAAAGATTGGGCTGTCGGAGGCTCGAGGAAATAGAGACAAGTGACACAACCTTTCGACCAAAGGGCTCAGCCTTCAACCAATCAAAGGACTCAACCAACCAGGATCGACGAAGAGCAAACATTGGCTCGACGTCCCCCGTCACGTTTGCCTCAGCCACATGGTCCTTGTCATAAAAATGAGGCAGATTCTCATATTCGGTCGACCCCTCGTCATAAAAAAGAGGCAGACCCTCTTATTTGGTCGACCCCTCGTCAACAAAAAGATGCGAACCTTCATATTCGGTCAACCCCTGCTCATTCAAGAACTCGGCGGCTTATAAGCCCCTGGAAAATTCAGGGATCTCGACCCAGAACGATGACATACAATGCTGATCATCAGCGAACCGACCCTCATCTCACGCCGCCATCTTACCGAATAAATTTACCTCGAATACTCTGTTTGACGCGCGTTTTGTATGATTGACATGGTCACATGTGGCCAGTGTCGGGCGAATGTCCTCGACTGCCGCCGAAAAGAGCTTCACACAGGCGGCACAACGCCGCGATCTTGGCGTCGCGCTTGTGGTCTGCGGCTTCGTTCCTCTTGGGCGGCATGGCGTAAGAATCATATTGGTGTGCTGATACCAACTGACGTAGTGAAAGCGTAAACGAATGGGAGAATTGAGAGACAACACTATTTTTTTCTTAATTCAATCAAAATCAACTCCTCTTCAAACAATAGAATATGAGTCTTAAATAGATCTCCTAACAACCCTAATGAAATAACTTATCTACCAAGAATGAAGTAGGATAAATATCTTTTTTATAACTAAATATACTTCCTACCAAATCTAGAATTAATAATAATAAAATAAAAGAAATAAATTAATTACACAAATGATGTCAAACAATCATGCTTGTCCATAAAGGCCAACGTAATCTCGCCTCTCAGGAAGATAATAGCAGCTGCAATGTTACTCTTGTATTATTTAAAGCCATAGAAGGTCATACAATGTCTTATATGATCAAAAGCTAAGAAAGGAACTAAGAACAAGACTCTAACTTTATCAACACAAAAGGTAAAACACTACCTCCTATGAATGGATGTCTCATGCATACGTTCAAAAAGATAATTAAACATGGAGAATTCTTGATTTTGGTATTAATATGCTATTAAATAATCATAGTAACAAATAATAATAATAATAATAATAATAATAATAATAATAATAATAATAATAATAATAATTTGAAATGAACATGCAAAAAATAAAATGACCAATTGATCCAAACAAATCAAATTAGTAGAAAGAGATGGATCATATCATACTGAATCCATTGTGGACAAGGTAATTGAAGGTATGGCCATCACAATTGTAAGTGAATTTGTTATTAGAAGATGGCAATTTTTGGAGACATTGTGAAGCGACCGACGTGAAGTTTCCTTTGAACTCTGTGTAATCAGCCAAAACTGCTGTCCCCCTCGCCACAAAACTGTAGATCAAAGTTTGTTGACCCATCACACACACACACATACACCAAAATTCTTCTAATACTTTTCTTTATTGTTACTATTCAAACCGAAAACCCATAATCTAAGAGGAGATCAGAAAAAGAAAATAAGAGCTAAGAAAAATGGAGAGAGACAGAGAGTGAGATAAAAAAAGAAAACAATTGAAACTTGCAAAAGGTGGGTATGTGTCGATGATGGAGACAACAAGAGGAAGTGATTATGTGTGGAGGAGAGGGAAATTGGGAAGGGAGGTGGCATTGTATATTTATAGTATGTTACTGTTTGAAATTGAATGTTTCTATCATTTCAACAATTTTGTTTTGTTTTGATTATATTTTTAACTTATGATCTAATTAGTATTAAGAGCTAAGAATTATTTTGCGGAATCCCTGATACTTATTAAAAAAAGAAATAACTATTACACCCACTCTGAAGACGTACTATGTCTTTCACACTGCCAGTTAACAAGTAAATTTTTTTACCCAACCGAGTACGAAACGAATTAGGCGACAAGTGAAGAAGAAAATTGAGAAAGTGCGAAATAAGTATAATAACTATTACACCCACTCTGAAGATGTACTATGTCTTTCACACTGCCAGTTAATAAGTAAATTTTTTTACCCAACCAAGTGCGAAACGAATTAGGCGACAAGTGGCGAAGAAAATTGAGAAAGTGCGAAATAAGTATACGATAAATACTGTGATACACAGACAAAACTGTACCCTTTTCTTTTTTTTTTCTTTTTTTTTTTNCTTTTTATTTTTAATAGCCAGCCCGTTTCGCGGCCCAGGAGAGTGTGGCGGCCCATTTTGGCGAAGGTCCAGTTCACGCTAGCTTCAGACACGCTCGGGCCGTCCGGCCGGATATCAGCCCGCCCGCGGTCCGCTCCCTCGCAAGTGTAGAGAGTGTGTTTGTACAAAAAATAAATAAATAAATATGTTCAAAATGAGTTTTTTTGGTTAACCAGAGTTAATTTTGAAAAAACTGGTATGATTAATTGTTAGTGAGATTTTGATTTTATATTAACATAAAATTTAAAATAAAATAATTAAAGTTAATTTAATGTAAAAGTATAGGAGAGATAGTGTAAAATGATAGTTAGTTAAAATTATGTGAGAGGATGAATAATAAGTTAAAATTGATGTTATGCGTAAAAAAGATTATTTAACGTTGATGATAATGGAATATGAATTGAGTATAAATTGGATTATGAAATTGCTCCGATTGGTGATCCAGACACATGGCCGCTGGTCGGATGGAACTTACTACCACATTGGAAGAGGATCATCACGAAGGCTGGACTCGGTCGCGCGCAAACGAAGCGTCATCGCATACAAATGGATCGTCGGGCACGCCGCCGGAATGATAGAGGACAGTGTAGTAGATGTGGTAATCCAAAGCATTTTGTGGATGACTGTCCGTCCTCACATCCTCGCACTGATAGATCTAGACTCCGTGATGAGTGGGGAAACTAGATTTGTTAGTGTTTATTTTTTTTATGTTGGACTTTTTTTTTTTATTGTTTACTTTGATTTGTTGGACTATGTTTGGATGATATATTTTTGTTATGCTGGACTATATATGAGTTGATTTGTTTGTGTATTTTTTGTGTAGTTGGTTGTTCTGAATATTTGTAACAGGTTTTAAATGGTGAAACAATAAAAAGAACAATTTTTTTTTTCATACAACAGTAAAAAACATATTTCTCAAATACGTTTTCGAAAAAATTAAATATTAATAAAAGTATTTATGTAATCCGTTTTCTAAAAAAAAAATATAGTATATACTTTATAACATATAGTATATAATATATAATATATAACATATAGTATATAACATTACTATATGTTATATAACATATAGTATATAATATATAGTATATATAACATATAGTATATAAAATATAGTATATAATATATAGTATATATAATATATAGTATATAATATATAATATATAACATATAGTATATAATATATTATAACATATAGTATATAACATGTAGTATATAACATATAGTATATAATATATAGTATATAACATATAGCATATAACATATAGTATATAACAATCAATCGATATAACATATAGTATATAATATATAGTATATAACATATAGTATATAACATATAGTATATAATATATAACATATAGTAATTGTTTACTTATAGTATATAACATATACTATATGTTATATATTATATACTATATGCTACATACTATATGTTATATCGAAATCCCATCGGACATCACGCTATGGAACGGATTAATGTCGGTTTATGCGAAGAATTCCAGTTTTCTGAGGTATTTTCTCTGTTCCAAAGCCTCTTACAGAACCCTCATCTGAAACCCGATAGCTACACGTACCCGAGCTTGCTGAAACCCGATAGCAACAATTTATTATTATTATTATTATTATTATTATTATTATTATTGTTATTATTATTATTATTATTATTGTTTCGAAACGATAGATCCATTAAGAAAAAAATGAGGTAATTATTAGAGAGCTAGTATATAACATATAGTATCTTATAGTTTATATCTTATAGTTTTTATCTTATATGTTATAGTTTATAGTTTATATCTTATATGTTATAGTTTATAGTTTATAGTTTATAGTTTATATCTTGTAGTTTATATCTTATAGTTTATAGTTTATAGTTTATAATTTATATCTTATAATTTATATTGTATATGTTTATATCTTATAGTTTATATCATATATGTTATAGTTTATAGTTTATAGTTTATATCTTACTAGTACACCACCCGCGCGATGTGCGGCCAGATGACATAAGTGATGTACATAATAATTTAAATAAATAAAAAATTATTCAAGATACTGTTAATAAATTAGAATAATTTTTTGTCTGTCACATCTTAAAATGTTCATAAAAAAAATTCATAATCTAGAAACAACAACAATATATGATACTCAGCCTGATGTTATAAGTGATATGCATAATAATTTAAATAAATAAAAAATTATTAAAGATACTGTATAGAGTTAATAAAAAGTAGAATAATTTTTTGGTCTATCACATCTTAAAATGTTCATAAAAAAAAATTATAACTCTAGAAACAACAACAATATATTAATATATGAGTATATGTGATTAAAAAATACAATATGTTTTTTCCTTCAAAATTTTAAAATTAAATTAATAAAACTTAAAAAAAAACATATATGTGATATTCAACGGAATAAGGTATTTGTCAGATTAATTCCCCGACTTTTTTTTGTTTATAAAATTGTCTCTTTAATAAAATAATTTTCATCGTCTTCGAACAAAATAAAGCAATTATTACTATTATACAAATAATTAAAGTTAACATACTTGAGACATATAAAATTAAGAAACATAAACAACATACTTAATAAATAAATACAAAAATGACTTAATTTTGGTTCTCATGTATTTAGTTTTAAATTATGTCCACATATTTTATATTTTATTAGAAAAATAAACTCAACAATTCATTTTTTTTAGTATAATAAGTGTGTGGTGGCGATATGATAATGATAGTGCATAATGAATCATTTTTGGTAAAGTTACAAATATATCCGTTAATCGTTAAATGTTCAGGTCAATAACATATTACTTCTTTTTCACTTGGAATTCTTTTTAATTAAGAATAACATTTAAATGTTTATTTGTAACAAACAATTTTTCATATTGTTTTAATGTGTATTCACAACGTACTTTAAATACCAATTACTACATGAACTTTACCTTTATGGATGTACAATTACAATTTAACATTTACTATGTGACATATTATTCCTTCTTATACAATTAATACGATAATAATGCAAGTTTGAGCGGGAATTGTCCAGCTGCTTTGCTTTTATATATATATATATAGACAGTTTATAGTTTAGAGGAATGCTACCATCCCGTTACGGGATGGTTCCGTTATGTTTTTAACCGTTGGATTAACTACCCATTACTAGATTACATGTATATCTATGGCTAGAAAACACAACGGAATCATCCCGTAACGGGATGGTAGCATTCTCCTATAGTTTATAGTTTATAATTTATATCGTATAGTTTATATTGTATATGTTTATATCTTATAGTTTATATCTTATATGTTTATATATTATAGTTTATATCTTATAGTTTATAATTTATATCTTATAGTTTATATTTTATATGTTTATATCTTATAGTTTATATCTTATAGTTTATATGTTATATGTTTATATCTTATAGTTTATATCTTATATGTTATAGTTTATAGTTTATATCTTATATGTTATAGTTTATAGTTTATAATTTATATCTCATAGTTTATATCTTATAGAATATATAGTATAGTATAATATATAATATAATGTATAGTATAATATAATATAATATATATTATAGTATAATATAATATATAGTATAATATGATATACTATAAACTATAATATATAGTATAGTATATTATATACTATATATTATATGATATATAGTATAATGTAAAGTATATAATATATAGTATATAACATATAGTATATAACATATACTATATGTTATATAGTATATAATATTTAGTATATAATATATAGTATATAATATTTAGTATATAACATATAGTATATAACAATCAATCGATATAACATATAGTATATATTATATAATATAGTATAATTTAAAGTAAAAAATTAANACTGCAAATCTTCGCCACCCCCGCCGCGCCACCACCATCTCGGCACCGTCAACTGCAAATCTCTTCGTCAAATAGGTAAATGGCCTAAAAAATTTTCAATTTCTTCAACTAATACGAATTTTCATAATACGTTTTTAGGTTAGGGTTGCTTGAAAATTTGATGTTTTAAAGATAGGGTTACATTTAGGGTTAGAAATAGGGGTTGATTTGAACTATTGTTTGAATGAGGCTTGCAATTAGGGTGTACGGAATTTTCGGAATTAGGACGTTAGGGTTTGGATTTAGAACTCGAATTAGGACTCGAAACTCTAATGTTGTTGAAATTGTGAATAGGATATTGGACTTTTTTGTGGCTTGCACTTGATTTATACATTGATTTGGATTCTTTTCGGAACTTATTTTTGTATTTTAAACTCCATTATGAGGGACTTGTACCTCATGAGATTATTATCATAGCTACAGTTTAATAATTTTATTTTCTAAAAATATGACATTCAAAATAAAACTATATAGAAACCATTTATAAAGTAATCTTAAACCAAAAATTAATCTAATTAAAAATCAGTGTCGACAAACTAAATATAAACCATTTATAAATTGTAAAAAGTTAGTATATTTGTAATTAAAATAAAATCTTCATGAATGTAAATATAAAATAAGTTTGAAGATAAACAGTTTATTTTTTCTAACACTGTATATGAGTAGTTAATATATTTAAAACATTTACAACAAATTTAGATATAAAAAGGAATTGATATTAATGTTTTATATACAATTTTTTATTTAGATTTTTATAAATATCCTATTTAAATTTTTATAAAGAATTCATAATTAAACATCAGGCTATCATTAATTTAATAAATAACCTTAGTCCTAATATTTTCTTTTTTGTATTGTTTGTAGATAAATGGCTTCATCGTCCTCCTTACAGCCTCAGCAGTACAGTGTCCATCTCGGTCCGAGGGATGACACTCTTCTATATCTCCAGTACCGCCACCGGTCACAGGCGGTATTTGATAATGCGTCGGGAGCTCGTGACACGATGCTCACAAACCGCCGTTTCCACAGTCAGTTCTGGGAGGCTTTGTCAAGCCAGCCACGGTCGGTTTGGGAGGTCATCGACCGGACTGGTTTCGGACCCTTGTTTCGAATGGGTCGAATCCAAGCCGACAACAGCTTCATTACTGCTCTTGTGGAGAGGTGGCGCCCAGAGACGAATACCTTCCATTTCGATTTTGGCAAGGCCACCATCACGCTCCAGGACGTACAAGTCCTATTCGGTCTGTCAATCATTGGAGTGACTAGAGATCTATCACCCCTACAGTGGCGAGAGAGGTGCAAGGACTTGCTAGGGTTTGAGCCCTATGTTCAGGTATATTTTTTCCTATAATTTTTTTTTTAAATATATGTCAACTCAATTTGATCGTTTTTAATACGGAAAAACCTCTCTCAGGATCCTCCCACCACCGAGGAAGAGCAAGCAACACAAGATCCAAAGTCCTGGGACATTAAAGGCCAGTATCTGAACGATGGAGGGTTAGAGGAGGAATGCAACCGTGTGTTGCAAGAAGGAGAACCGGACATCGTGTACGAGCGGAGGGCGAGAGCCCTTATCTTCTGGTGCATTGGGTCCTTCATCTTCCCCGACCAGCGGGCGAATGGCGTCCCACTTTAATGGCTCGACCTGCTGGAGGACATACATGCTATTAAGGGCTACAACTGGGGTTCAGCGCTCCTGGCCGGGGTATATATAGCGTTGTCAACCTCGTACAAGGCCAAGGAGAAGTGGATCAAGAACTGCATTCAATTGATCCAAGTAAATTTATTTAATTGTTATTTGAAAATTTAATATTTTATTTTTTCTTACTTCGACTAATACCTAATAACAAAATTAATATCCATTTGTGTAGGTTTGGGCATGAGAGCATATCCCTCGTATTCACCCAATAGTCAAGACTAGTAGGTTTGATAATCTGCCTGATTGTCCATTGGGAGCGAGGTAATCACGTTTATTTTTATTTAATTCGTACATTATTTTCATTATCAAATTTTGTGATTACAATTTTTTTTCTGTGATTTTTAAGGTGGGTAGGACCAAAAAAAAAGTCAAGCATAGCCAATACATTGGTCGCCTACCGGGATCAGTTGACAGGGCTGGGAGAGTATGATGTAATATTCTTAATTCCTATTACTTGATTTATCTTTCTTTTTTTGTTTTTAATTTTGTAATAACTTAATTACTAATTCAATTGTTATTTTTTTTTTACAGTTCGATTGTCAGTCCTATCGAAAACACCTGGAGGATGATACTCTCTCGGATGCGTGCTCAAGAGATCAACAATTTTGGATGTACCGGGAGTGGATCTTCAGTTGGAACACCCGGGAGGTACACCTGCCTGACAGGGTCCTCCGTCAATTTGGGTGTCGCCAGTCCATTCCCCAAAATCCGATCATTCGAGATGAGCGAGACTGGGACACACACCACAGAGGTCAGGGGATGACTGGGATGGCGTTTTATGATAGGGCCGAATTCCATGTGCCGTTTCTGAGCTCGTGGACTGAAGAAATAGAACAACGTCACCTCCTAGTTGCCCCTATGTACGACTATCTGCAGCCGGAGCAGGGTTACCTTGAATGGTTTCACAGCAGGACTGTAAGATTCATCAATAACCCTGTCAATTACCCAGTGTTCCAGCAGGCGGGCGGGTATCAGCCACTTGTCGAGCAGTTAGGCTGTCAGGTAAGTGTTCATTATTTGTGTTTATTATTATTATTATTATTATTATTATTATTATTATTATTATTATTATTATTATTATTATTATTATTTTTGTGTTTCATACTAATTATTATGAATTTTATTTACAGACTTCTGCACTACAAGGGGTTTATGGCGCATTATCCGATATTCAACTATTAATGCCTAAAATCCCTCCAGAAGCGCAGACCGGCTTCCAACAGTCATACAACTTTGCCTTCTCTTCTTTGACTGTTGGGAACCAGGGTGTTCCACATGGGGGGGCGTCCAGTCAAGTTTTCTCTCAGGACGAATACATTCGCCCCATGAGGACACAGTCACACACGGCCAGGCATCAACCTGCCCCCAACATTGGTGGGGGTAGAAGACCTCGGGTTCGTCCCCGTGCTCAGCCGTCCGCCCAGCACCTCCAACCTGAGCAGTCCGAGCCTCAACAAGGTGAGATTTTTAAATTAACAATTTTTTTTTTTCCCAGTCCAATTTATGCTTTCTTTTTTTCAATTACTCAGATGAAGAAGATGAAAATGCGCAAGCTTTTCAAGCTGACACGCTTCTCACACCTCAACCTTCGTCTTCTTCTCACATGGTATATACTCGAAGGGGGTCCAGACTGCGCAGGCCTAGGGATCCATACACTCCTTCCTAGTTAGTTGTGTTAAATTTGTGGATTTTGTGTTCATTTTAAATTGTTGGATTGTCTGTATAAACCGAATTATATCGTTTTGTATATATTGTTTGTTCAACAAATTATTGTGTTTCATTTGTTTGTTTATAGTGTATGTTGGATTATTATTGGTCGAATATGTTGATATTAGTTGCTCGAACAAGTATATTTGGTTGTCAAATGATCTCTAATAGGATTTTTGCTAAAACCTGCACAGTAAAACGTATTTTCATATCATTTTTTTTATTTTTTAAACAGAAAACGTATTTCAAGAATACGTTTTCTGTGCAAAATTAGGGCAAAATCAATTTGGGGCTAAAATTAGGGCAGAAAAAAAAATTTTGGGGCAAAATTACAGGAAAAACGTATTTTGAAAATACGTTTTATATTTTCAAAATATTATTTAGGGCAAAATCTATATTGGGGCTAAAATTAGGGCAGCAAAATCAATTTAGGGCAAAATTATAGGAAAAACGTATTTTAAAAGTACGTTTTATATTTTGAATTTTTTTTTAAAAAAAATTATTTTTAAGAATTGTAAAAATTAATTTTATTTTTAAAACGTATTTCATAAATACGTTTTATAATTAAAAAATAAATATAAAGTTAATTTTAATTCAAAAACGTATTTAGATAATACGTGTTTTTTTTTACTTTAAAACGTATTTAGTCAATACGTTTTCTTATATTTTAATTAAGTTAATTACGTTAGTTAAATTAACTATTTTTTTTTTCGTTAATACATTTTACTATTGAACACGTATTATATAAATACGCTCTCTTTCTCTCCCAACCGCCGCCTCCACAACTACATTCCACCCTGAAAACACAATTCCCCTTCTGCTCATTCTATCCCAAGGCTACTCCCTCCCTCCGAATCCGAGCTTCCACCACCACGACTACCACGGAGACCGACGCCCCGCCGCCGCCATCGGCCGCCGCCACTAAGCTCAATAAATACAGCTCAAGAATCACGGAGCCCAAGTCGCAGGGCGGCTCCCAGGCGATTCTCTACGGCGTGGGCCTCTCCGATGACGACATGAACAAACCCCAGGTCGGAATTTCGTCGGTCTGGTACGAGGGGAACACCTGCAACATGCATCTTCTGAAGCTCGCGGAGGCCGTGAAGGAAGGTGTTCAGGAGGCCGGAATGGTGGGGTTCAGGTTCAATACAATTGGGGTTAGCGATGCTATTTCAATGGGGACGAGGGGAATGTGCTACAGTTTGCAGTCGAGGGACTTGATTGCTGATAGCATTGAGACTGTTATGGCTGCTCAGTGGTACGATGGGAACATTTCCATCCCCGGATGTGACAAAAATGTAAAAATGCACATATATCTTGAGACTCTTCCCATTTGCCTTCTATTTTTTTCCACCTTTTTTGGTGCAGTTTTGAATGTGATAAACAGTTTTTACTTTTCCATCCATACTGTGGCTGAGTATTCTGCAAGTTACCAGATGTATGAAGTGCTGTTAACTGAAAACTTGTTTGCTGTAGTGAACTTCCGACTTTTTTCCTTTTAAAAATTCATCCCTTATGGTTTTGATATCTTTGAACAAGGGAATGAGAGGATTTTTATTGAGGAATAATCTCTCGATACTGGAAAAATGTGCATGCTTTTAGCATTTGAGGTGTTTTGCTGAATGATGCTTGTCTCTCTGAATGATTCACCATTTTAAAACCATGACTTGTACTTTTGTAGTGAGTAAAATCTCAGTTGTTTGTATTTACCCTTACTAGTATGTTTTTTAGCTAATAATTTGGCAAATATCTTTCCAGGAAAAACATGGCCTTTTGTTTCTTTTGTTATTAAATGGTTTTGTTCTAAGTAACAGGTGTTTTTTTTTTTCATAAGCATATGGTACATGGTTTTTGATGCCACTATCTGGACATGCCATCAATCTTGAACTGACTTATTTGTCATGTCTTAATGTTTGAATAATAATGTTATTGCTGTTCAGATGTCCATAAAGATTGTACGGAGCCGTTATACCTGATGTAATCCTTTGTTCTTCAGTTGAAGAGCATCTTTGAGATTATAACTTTTTCATTTTAACTTTGATTTTGTTTGAGTTTAGTCTTTATTTTCTTCTTTCTCATTGTGTTGTGAATTGGGGTCGGATGTCCTTTCATGTGTGTACGCGTGCCATATAATGTGTGTGGTGGCTTTTCAAGAATAACCGCACAAAGTACTTCATATTACATTTATGACTGAGTGGGTTTCTCTTGGCCGTGTCAATTCCAGATTTAAATCCATTGGACTCGATTGCAACCAATAGACGAATGATGGAAGTATGTTCTTGTTGATGTTGACTGTATCGTTCTTAGGATGATGCTACAATGTTATGACAAGTTGTTAACAATTGAGCAATAGTTCATGAAATCTTCTACTGAATAATTTTATCTTATTTGGTTGTAGATACTGTTTACTCTGCTCCTTTCTTCCCTTAGCCACCCTTGTAAAAGTTTCAACCTTTACACTGTTAGTTTCTTTGATTCTTATTAGTTTACTCGCAATAATATTGCAGATGCCAGGTACAATTATGGCTATGGGACGGCTGAACCGTCCAAGCATTATGGTTTACGGTGGAACAATTAAGGTTTGTCTAGTTTACTCTGGTATATAAATCTCTTTCCTCAATTTTCTCACTGCAGATATATTCTGTTTATTCCTAGAAAAAGTTTTACTGCATTTCTCTCTCTCTCTCTCTCTCTCTCTCTAGCATGGATGTTTGTTTAATAAAAGTGCTCGTTGATATACTGCAGTATAAGTTGATCAAATTCATACTACTGGGTCAGATAAAATAAATTTACCTAACCCTCTAGTTGGCCATCAAAATTTCCTCATGTGTCGATGCAAAGCAAGTTATTCTATTTGTAGTTGATCATATAGTGATCAGTATTCTTCAAGTGCCCAGATCAAGTTTTAATATGCTTTTTATTAATGTTTCCATATTATTTATTTATTTATTTTGGATGAATGTTTCCATATTATTACTTGTACTTGGATGAAACTTTTATGTGGAGATTAAAGACATTATAGGTGGATTATGTTGTAACTGAGTATGATCCAATTTTTCTTTGTTTATCTGAATAAAGCTTTATTGGATCCTAATTTGAGATGAATCATAATATAAGTTTCCCAGGATGTGGTTGGTAACATACTTATTGTTTCTGTTAATCTCATGCAGCCAGGTCATTTTCAAGGTCACACATATGACATAGTATCTGCCTTCCAGGTATGTGCATCACATTTCCTGTTTTTCCTACTAGTGATCATTCTTTTTTGTGTTGGTCTTTTCGTTATGTAAGTAAAGTACAACCTTATTCATGAGAACCTGTTATCATCATTGCATGCTAATTAGAGGTTTTGGAAGTGATGAATGGTTCAGTTCAATTAGGCTTTGTGGTTTAAGTAGTTTTCTCGGCTAATGATCACATGCCTGACAAATAATTCATTAATGTTTTGGATAATGACTTGTACGTTGGTCATCATGTTAGATGATTTCTTCCCTCTTTAGTCAATCAGAATCAATACTTTTTCGCCCGTGATTCATACTGTAGGTTTATGGAGAGTATGTGAGTGGATCCGTAAGTGATGAAGAAAGGATGAATGTAGTCCGCAACTCATGTCCTGGAGCTGGGGCATGTGGTGGAATGTATACAGCAAATACAATGGCTTCCGCTATTGAAACACTGGGAATGTCCCTTCCTTACAGGTGAAATAATATGATATTATGAAAAAGCAGTCACGGATTTTTTTATGATTAGCTAAAATTCTTATTTTCAAACTAATGTGATTTTTTTAACGACAAAAAGTTCTTCCACGCCTGCTGAAGACCCTCTAAAATTGGATGAATGCCGCCTTGCGGGTAAATATTTACTCGATTTAATTAAAATGGACTTGAAACCTCGTGACATCATCACCCCAATATCACTACGTAACGCGATGGTCATGGTCATGGCACTTGGTGGATCTACAAATGCTGTTCTGCATTTAATTGCTATAGCAAGGTGAGCAGTATCTAATTATGGCAAGCTATCATCATAAAAATTCCACACGTGTGAAGAAGCTCTCAGCTACATTTTTGCAGGTCTGTAGGTTTGCAACTAACTTTAGATGACTTCCAAAAGGTTAGCGATGAGGTTCCATTCCTTGCAGATCTTAAGCCAAGTGGTAAGTTCGTGATGGAAGATGTACACAAGGTATGTTCAGTATGATTTGTGCTTATTTCTTTGTTATTTCTTTTTTTTTTTCAAGGTATATATTGATGAGTTTTATTTGTCCATGATTTAGATTGGAGGCACACCTGCTATCATTCGCCATCTATTGGAGCTTGGATATTTAGATGGGGATTGTATTACAGGTAAAGTGCCTGAAATTTAATCGCGAGTGCAAACCATATATGTTCTTTTCCTTCAGAATTTTTATTTATCCCTTTTGAATTTTCTTAGTTACGGGACAAAGTCTGGCAGAGAATGCAAAGCTATACCCATCCCTACCTGAAGAACAGGTATAGTTGATCTATTAAGCAATTTATTCAGCGTCAGTATATTTTGTTCCCTTGATTTGCTTACTTATACGTATATTACTAGTAAATATTCATTATTTTTGTTTGATTGCAGCAAATAATTAGACCCTTGACAAACCCCATCAAAGAAACCGGTCACATACAGATATTATATGGAAACCTTGCACCTGAAGGTTCTGTGGCAAAGATCACTGGAAAAGAAGGGTTATACTTCTCCGGTAACTGCCATTGTCTTATTTCGTTCTGTCCTAATTTTTGTTCTTTTTCTTTTATAATTTTACTGTTTACATCTCTTCATTTAGTTCATGATGTTTCCTATTATAGTCTGTTCTAATCTCTTTGTTTTGCATTACAGCCTTGTGCTTGTATTTGAAGGAGAGGAATTATTAGGAGTAGTATTCTTTCTTCATAGTCTATTTAGTTCATTATGTCTATCTGTCATTGTATTATAATTTGTTTTTTATTATCGTTCTTATTCTGTAGGCCCTGCGCTTGTATTTGAAGGAGAGGAATCTATGATTGCAGCTATTTCTGAGAATCCAACAAGTTTTAAGGTAGAATCTCTCTCTCTCTCTCTCTCTCTCTCTCTATATATATATATATATATATATATACACACACACACAAAATAGTCTTAGTTTCTGCATTTGTTCCCTTCATGAATCTACTGATCAACAAATATTACACCTTGGTCAGCCAGTGTAATTTGAATTTGTTCTCTCTCTCTCTCTCTCTCTATATATATATATATATATATATATTTATATAACACATTACACCTTCTGTTATTATTTTGTTTCAGGGGAAAGTAGTGGTTATTAGAGGAGAAGGACCGAAAGGGGGCCCGGGCATGCCTGAAATGCTCACCCCAACAAGTGCTATAATGGGGGCTGGACTTGGCAAGGTGAGCAATAATATTTCGTTTTTACTTTCTTAGGTTGTTTTGACTGTGTTTGTGAATGAAAAGAGAGTCGTGCGTATTTATAATTTAAGTTGGTCACCAAACATTTGTGTTTGAATTGTTTTCTGTAGGAAGTTGCGCTGCTAACTGATGGAAGGTTCTCTGGAGGTTCTCATGGATACGTGGTGGGCCACATATGTCCAGAAGCACAAGTAAGTCGGACTTTATATACTATTTCTCACACATTTCAAACCTTTGATTGGTTTCCTGCATGTTCTTTTCGTTGGTAGATTTCAGCCATTAGCAAAAGATTTGTGGGGTTATCCTCAATATAGAATTATGTGGAATTTTAAGGATTTCGAAGTTTTTAGAATAACGACCATTTAGAGAATTCTACGGGTACCGTCGGAAATGGAATTCGATGAAATCTTTCACTCTGTAATTGTGTGGATTTCATTTTCTGTATAGATTTTTTTTTTTTTTTTTCGTTTATTTTNTCTTATCATGCAATTACTGTTGTATTTAGCCAAAAATAAAAGATAAAAATGAAACTGACAAAATAAAATATAAAAAGAATCTAGGTTGATTGTAAGTTTTTTTATGTTATTTTTTTTGCCATTGAGCTACAGGGATATGAATGTAGTCATAAAAATATTTTTTCTGGAAAATCAGGATATTGGAATTGTATTGAATCTACAGAATTCCAACTTGAGGATCAACTTTTTTAGTAGAATCCATAGAATTCTAAGCTGAGGGCACCTGGATTAGTATAGAATTTCAAATTTCATCAAAGTCCATATTAAAGAAATCCCCCTTAGACGTTTACTTAGAAATAATATTTTTTTTCCCTAAGCACCTTATTTTGAAAAGATGGTGTTTGTGAAACTTTATTCTTTTTCCGTTAAAAATAATATTCAAGTAAATGTGATCTTGAATAATTTAATTTGGCGATGAACATAATTGTTATGTTTAAAAATTTTTCAGGAAGGTGGTCCCATTGGCCTTATTGAGAATGGGGACTTAGTTACGATAGACATTCAGAAGAAGAGGATTGATGTGAACCTAACAAATGAGGAGTTGAACGAGCGCAGAAAGAGGTGGAACCCACCACCTTATAAAGCTGAACGAGGAGTTCTTTACAAGGTATGTGAGCGTTAAATGTGTATTTTCTAAATCAGAAGCTTTTGTATACCTATTCAAATCTTTTATCATTTCCTTTATATTTTTTCAGTACATTCGTAATGTGCAATCAGCCTCTAAGGGATGCGTGACCGATGAATAGAATGAGGTGAGAGCTTTGTGTGGAAAGGGCATAATAGAGATTATTGCCTCAATTTTACAAAATCTTGACATTGGGTTAGTGGCTCCTTGGTGTATCTCGAGTTCTATGCTCAAAATTTTCTATTATGACTCTAAATGTCCTCCAGGTCATTGCGGCTAAAATTTTCTATTATTTTCTTTCTTGTATTTCTATTGAGAGGAATATTTCTCTTTTTTTTTTTTTCCAAACATCAAATATTATATATCACAAAATACTGAAATGTACAAATCGGTAGCCAAATGGCCACAAATACACCCCTACCAAGCAAGCTAGGACGAGGTACAATACGGGATCGCTCGAAAATCAAGCTACCCTAAGAGACCAGGCACGGTCATGACACCCAAACCCAAAAGCAAAACAAAATATACAAAACAGAAGAGACCACAGAAAATGTAAGCCACAAACAAAAAGAAAAGACTACAGAACTCAGACACTAAGTACAATTTATAAGAGCACACTGAGGAAAAAGAGGCAAGATGGATCTAATGTCATCCACCAGGACAGCAAATTTCGTGTTACATAAGGTGTTGCTCGATATCATTTGGAATAAATCTTTGTCTGTGAACCTTAGCTTCACCTCATGCCATCCTAGTTGCAGACCCTTCTCCAACCATTCTCTAATGCAAAATAGAGTCACATCCACTGGTTGCTTATGAGCAGCATCCCTAGATTGAGACAATGAGGCCACCTCAGAGCTGTTCATTAAAGCCACTCCTTGTATGCACCAATCAACTTGCTGAGATGTAGAAGAACTGGGATTAATTAAGGGATCCCCTAATCCTAGCATCTCAGAAGGATTCTGGCCTTTGACATGTTCTTGCAGCTCTTGATGAAACAACTTTCTACCATATTTAGTGTCATCAAATTCCATCCACTCCAGTTTTGCTCCCAAGACTAACTGCTGTTCAGTCAATAGAATATTTTGAAACCGGCAAGTGTTCCTTGTTTTCCACATCCACCAAAGGAGATAGGTGGATAGTGAAATTCTGTCTCTATTGTATTCAGAGGTGCTCATGCTGTTCAGAGTCAGCCACCAATCCAGAAAAGTAGTCTGCCTATCTTCCAAGCAGTTCCATTTGAGGCCTGCAAGCTTCCATACCCTTTGTGCTCTAGGACAGAAGAACATTATGTGCTCTAGGTTTTCTTCAGCTTCACCACAAATACTGCATATGACATCTACCTGTATTCCTTTCTCCTTCAATCTACACATGGTGGCCACCCAACTGTTTGTGAACATTAATGTGTTGAGTGAGAGGCGGAAACTTGAAATCGAGCTCCATGCCGAAATCCACCAACCATAGGACTTGATAGTATTAGCGCTTTACAGCTGTGGACAACTTTTCCAACTTCGCTTTGTACCTTTCCACTTTCTTAGAGTGAAGAGGGGACTAACTGTATTGCAATAACTCGAGCTCCCATCTACACGGGTTACAGCTCAGAACAGAAAGAAGACTAGCTCCCATACTCACGTGTCATAAAAAAGAAGCGGAAGAGCCAGTGAATAGTATAGAATCGAAGAGGGGTTTTGTTTCACGGAATCCTGTATCAGATTTGAGCTCATTCTCTTCCTTGTTGAGTGCTTTTTCGAATGATAAAAGAAGTGTGCCCGATTCGAGTAAGCCCGCACCCAAATTTCATTTCCTTGGACTTCGAAAGAATTTGTCGACATTTACGATTCAATATCTTCTTGTTCCGACTAAACCAAAATTTCTTCAACAATCGAATTGGCTGGTATAGAATCAGCAGCACATTAATCTTCCTCTATTCTATCAATTTCATTTCTTTTTTATGTCCACGTGGATCAAGGCAGTGGATTGTGAATCCACCACGCGCGGGTTCAATCCCCGTCGTTCGCCCATCAATCAATAAATGGACCATTTATTTCGGAGACACAGGACAAACATAGAAAGCATAGATTCGCGTCGTTGATTTTATTTTTTCTACCGGCTAACTCCGGACGGTACCGGCAAGTTCTAAGAAGAAGAAAGATACCCCATTTGGTCTGGGACGCTTTAACATTTTTTCATTCATTCCCATCCAATCACCCATTCCCATCCAATCAAAAAAAACTTCGGGAGGATATTTACAGGATCTGGTTCACCGAGTCCCGTTCGCCGCGTAGCGGATACATCGTTGTTGCTCCTGCGAATTATTTCCTTCGTTTCAGTTAGATTTTGATAGCCATACCAGTGATTTGGAGGAGATCTCTCGAAAAGTATTTATCGAAGAAAGCATACACAGAACTAGAAAAAATCATATATGCAGTCGTCAAAGAATAGCCAACTCCCCGGTCTGGCTTTCTTGCTTTGAAATTCAATTCAACAAATTCTGATTGCATGAAATGAAATCTGTACAACCTGTTTAGTTAAATGAAACAAATGGAAGTGCGATCCAATTTCCCTTAGATTTGGTTGTGCGCTGAAAAGAGCAGTTTTGTCGGATCTTTCCTTTCTGTAGATGAATGGGATTATATCTCAATTACACCAGGACTGAACTTCGCTTCGTTTGTAGAGTCTCACTTACTTGGCCTATTCTCTGCTTTGAGAGTTCACGGGGTTAAGTGAATTTAATCTGATTTTTTTGTCTCCCGAAGATTGTTTAATATTCTTAAATTCGATCAAATATGTAATATCATAATAAAACGTATCAACCACTTCCTACAATCTGGCCTGAACCTTTGGGTAGACTCTGCAGCATCAACAACAATAGCTGCACGGAGAATTTTGTTCGCCATATAGAAAGACTTCTATATGAACAAAGTGAGAGCTCCATATATAGAATTTTGAAGCATTTTGTTCGCCATATAGAAAGACTTCTAGAGTTTTTTTAGGCCATATAGAATTTTTGTGCCATGTGGTAATGAAATGGAGCAATCCAAAGATACTTGGAGATGCTCTATGGGTTGAACTGTCAGGCGTCAACTACATAGAAAACTGGTGTGGTAAAAATTGCAGTCTAATGCTTAGGCAGGACCTTCTTAAGGGGTTCAAGAAGTACAAATAGAATTGGACGGAATTTAGCAAGTAGAAAAATGGGCACTGTCCATAAAAACTAAAAAGTGGGTGTAATCGGGGTTTATAGCATAAAATGCTTCAAAATTTTAGTTCGCATGGAATAATAGAGACATTTCTTCAAAATTATGCTCTCATTTCGCTCCATTCTATTTTTAGATAACAGAGCACATTCTCATGGTTTCATGAAGTTGTGAATTACCACCACAATTACTTGCACCTACAGGCCAGTGTAGTACTCTCACAATATACACTTTGCGCATTTTAGTAGAGCAATCAGAGAGTACGCTAAATTTGCAAAATAACATCTCAATACAGACATAATAAGAGATTGAAGAAAAACAAAATGGCAAAAACTGATAATAAAATGATTGCAGTACAACACAGTTCAGAAAAAGGTACTTTAGACTTCTTCTGTATGATTAAGAAGCAGAAGGTCTCTTAACAGAGATCGATTATTGTGATAACACCACATAGAATGCCTCTAACAGAGACTGATTATTGTGATAACACCATCCATAACTTATTACATGGTATTACTGACTTGTGAATTCCATATTCAAGATAACTGGAACTTGGTAAAGAGTGGGCATGGTGTTTTATCGAGCATCCTTGGACAGAAAATTCTGTGTCTCGACTTTACGTGAATTGCAAAGCTCATCACAAGAGTCACCCCTCTCAAACACAGCAGCTGCCCCCATCCCAGTGCCTACACAGATCAGACATGTCAGAGCTTTAACTTCGTTGTACAAGTGTGTGTGTGTGTGTGTGTTGAGAGAGAGAGAGAGAGAGAGAGAGAGAGAGAGAGACCTATACACATTGACACAACGCCAAATCGACAATCTTTGCCACGGCGCTTCATTTCATGCAGTAAAGTAGCAACACAGCGCGCTCCTGTCAAAATAACCGAGCAAGCAATTAAAACATATGCTACGAATTGCTGTGCTCAGGTTTGAAAACCATCTAATGCATCCAGGATCATGTCATTTGACAAAAATCTCATAGGATCTCAAAACCTACAGATGACCCCGCTTACATTATCACCAACAAGCATCTTAAAGTTGTGTTCTAATGTACGTATTCACATTTGTGGAAAAAGGCTGACAAGTGCAATTTATTTAGAGTATTAGGATACATTTCAATGTTGGATAATTTTTGGCGACAAACTTTTAAATAATGTGATGTGGAAATATTGGGTAAGAAATGAATATTATATAAGATAGATTTAGAACTTTCAACGTTCAAGCAGAAGCACAGAAGATGCCTCAGGCAACAGCGACAAGGAGAAACATACAAACTCTTTTCTAGTTTTAATAAAATTAAGTCCCAAATCATCACAATTATATATTAACAGATGTACCTGTTGCACCCAAGGGATGTCCAATAGCCATGGCACCTCCATTGACATTGATCTTCTCAGGATCGAGCTCAAGCTTCTTACGGCAGTATACATATTGTGAAGCAAATGCCTGGAGATTTATCGATAATGAAATTTCTTAAAAGAAGTCTAATGTCCTCTTATTTCTGTTTCCTTTTTATGTGAACAGAAAAAAAAAAAAAGGTACCTCATTTATTTCAAAAAGATCAATATCCCCGAGTTCAAGACCAGCAGTTTTTACCGCAGCTGGAATAGCAACAGCTGGACCAATGCCCATGACTGCAGGATCCACACCAACGGCAGCAAAGCTCCTGCACGGCACATGGAAAAAGATTTTTCACACCGACTAAAATGAGCTTTCTATCTATAGATAGAAAAATTCGTAGTAGTACCATAGAGATCTCAATAGATTATCGATACAACTGAACCAGTGCTGTTTCAACATATGACAGCCAGTATGTAGAGACTTTGCAACAATTGACTAATTATCTAGAGGTTTGTCATTGCAGCATTAAGTTCTGGAATGATAAGTTACCGCAACTATACTTATAGATTAAAAGTCAGTCCAGAACCTATAGCTAAAGAAGATAGTCCATTCATGATTATAGCAGGGCAATGAACCTCAAAACGTTATTCATGGAAATAGACATTAGACAGACAGGGGATTTAAAAGATGTACAGCAACTTGTGCATAAACTAATTTTTTCCAAGTACACAAATGTAAGATTCATTTCATGTATTTTAAAAAACCTGAATACACCAAGAATAGGGAGCCCCTTCTGCATGGCAACACTTCTCTTCATGAGAAGCACAG